TAAAAGGTAAGGTATATTAAATATAATAAAACGAATAACGTAAATAAAAATAAATTTACACGCGTATCGTTGTTGCATATTAACTAAGAAGACAGAAAAATTATCTTCAATTAAATATATTTGTCATAAATAAGTATATATCCACAACCAATCCTTGCTGGATTAAAAGGTCGTATTCGTTATGGCCCAAGCCCAAATTTTAACATACTTTTACTTTTATGTGTTTTGGAGAATATTTTTTTTAGTTTTTTATGGTTTGATTGAACCTATTAAAATTGAAATACATTATGGATTAAGACCTTTAGGTCCATTCATATAAAATAAAATTTGTCTTTACTAATATAATTATTTTATAAAGATCACAATAGCTATGTATTTAACCATTTTTTTATATATAATATATATAAAATTCAAGCATAAGTGAATATAATATATAAAATTATAATTATGTACTAACTACTTAAAAAAAGGTTGTAAACTGCCTAAAAATGTTCTACAAATAAAATCTAATAAGACTTTATGCTAATGCACCTTGAAATAAATGTAAATAAAATTTAAACATCCAATAATAGTTCATTTTTTTTATTATAAAAATATCCTTCTATGTAAGTCAATTTTTTCAATAACACCTTAGGACACATAAGAATTTGATTGTGTGAAAATAAATAAAAAATTATTTAATCATTAGAATGTTGTGTTTTATTGTTAAGGTATTAATATTTGATTTGTCACATTAATTTATTTTGATGATAATTTCTATTAAAAGTTGAATTTTAACTAGGGAAGGCAAAAAGGATTAATATGTCCCATTTTAGCTTTAGTCCGTAAAAAATAGAATGAAATAGACTAGTCCTCATTAGTTAAAATGGGTTAAAGACCTAATCTATGATCATCAAAAGTGAACGGACTACAGATCAGTCTCTCAATAATTTTTTTATATAAAATCTTTATATGTCTTTTTAAAAAAATATATATGTAATTATATAAATAAATTTAAAATTTTTATTTATTAATTAATATTATTATTAGATAAATTAAAAAAATATTATAGTTAGATGTGAAAATAACTAATTATAATCAATAATTTAAATTTAATTAATTTTTATAATTTAAATTATAATATTATAATATATTTACATATTTTAATGACATAATATAAAAAAACATAATATTTTTAATTATAATTATAATTTTAATATATAAATATTTTTTTTAAAAGTGAGTCAACCGGTTAATCCATTTCATTTTTCACCAACCAAGTTGACGAACTAGATAATACGGATCAATAAATTAAAATTATCAATATGTCTAATATTTTTCAAGTAGATTGGTGAATTAACCGTGTTAAATTTTTTCTTTTATAAATATATATATATATATAAAACAGAGTGAGCCATCCTTATCTAATTTCAGTTTTGTACAAACCTAAGATAACCTTTCCCTAGCCTTTTAAATTCCTTGAAAGTGATAAGTATAGAGTTTTGCAACGAGATGTTGGGTATAAAGCATTGGCACATTTCTAACACATGCTTTTGTCCCACATGTTCTTAAACTTTCAAAGCAAGTAAAGAATAAAGAAATGGTTGAAGGAATGAGCTATGAAAATGTCCACTTGGTTTTGAACTTGTCAGAATTGCTTTCATAAAAAATTAATTACGATTAAGGTTGTCTGCATTTATATATTTAATTCTATTAAACAATACGGTCGTTGTTTGTTGGGGATACGACCAATAAACCATGTAAGTGTTATGTTTCTTAACATCATTTAGGTTTCTCGCAATCCTAACATAACTAAGGAACCAACAACCTACAAGAATAATAGAGTAATACAGTCACTGTCATTCAATCTTATTTTGTTGTTTTCTAAACCCACTAAGTCCATCACTCACTACAAAGTGATTTTTTTTTTACTATTTCATACATATTTTTCTACAAAATAAACCATCACTCAAATTCCAAATCAATTGGGTGAAGTTTATTTCAGATTAACCGAATTCTTATCACTGTTAGTTCTCTTATTTGGATCCATTGCCTCCAACTAAAAACAATTTGGGTTGTCTACAAATGACAAGACATCCAATCCCTTATAGATTTGATTTCTTTTAAGCATCAAACTATAATTGCCATCCATCAATTTAACTCGGATTACGTGAAGATCCTACCTTTCTTGATTACATAGATTATATAGTGGCTGGAAAGTTTGAGAAAACTAGAAAAGTCACACCCCAAAATCCAATTGACCTTTGATAAATCAATAAATTAATAATGTTTGTGATTTGAAGATGAGAGAATATTGAGGGTGAAAAATCTTGATGCCTTTTTCTTTCGGTTTATCTGCTTGTGTTCATAACTTGCATGCCAATTGGGAAGCAATGATGGAAATTCACAATTTTGCATTCCACCAAATTAAACCAAACCACTTAGTTTGTAGAGGGTAGTGTACGTGTAATGCTTGAATTAAGTTATTGCTATAAATCAACTGTCTTGTCAATCTACACCTTTCTAATAAGAATGGGTCATAAATAGAAAGCGAAAGAAAGAGAACTTTTTTACACATATAAACTTCAAACAAAACCTTATCTTTAACTATCGCAAAAATTTCAAACCCATATCTTCGTCCTTCTAAGTTCCAGCTTGTCTCCAGAACGTAACTTTTTGCCATACTCCTAAGCTCCTAACAAGTTTACACCTTTCTTATAAAACCTAAATTCAAATAACACCTCACTTTTTCTTCATGTGCATACATTTCTTCAATTATTGATTGATTCCCTGTCTACGTACGTGCCTGGATGGTGCAGTACTGCGCTAAATTATTATCCACTCCTTCACCATCCTCATTTTCTTACCTTGTTTCCTTTTAAAATTTTCAAAAATTTTAAACTACTCCACATTCAAACCCTTTAATTTTGAATTCTAAAGTTCAACTTCCAAATTTCAAAAATTAACTCCAAGTAATGAAGAAAGTGAAGCCTCCTATTACTATCGTGATTAATGTTTTCATCAAATGTGAACCGCGTGTGGTGTAGTGTAGCCGCAACGTCTTAGTTTAATCATAATGATCAAATTTAAATCTAGGTCATTTTAATTTCACTTAACATAAATTCATGTTTATTACGATGAATAAATCATCCAACACTTGTGCCTGCCTGTTCAAACCCGAAGATAATAATTTCTGAACAACTGATTCTGAGCAACACAGTCACTGACAATAATTTCTATATAAACCCGTTACTGAACCAGTGTCAATTATTCACAATCCTAACCAACCATTGTAAATTATTTATTTTTAAAGTGTCTTTATTTTGAAAATCAAAGTTCACTAATTTTATAGGACTAATCTGTATCATTTTTCATGGAAATAGTTGTTGCTGGTTTTTACTAGGAGGGTGAAACTATAAACTAACTAACTATTCTAAACTAGGGGTATCAATAGGTTGGTCCAACACATTTAGGCTAATAGAGTAGAATTCCCGTCAACCCAAATCAGGCTAAGTAGTCGAACTAACGAGTTATTGAATTAGTTTGGTTCTTTCGGATTGCTGTTACATTGACTTGTTAACATTCCTTCTTTTTTAAAATAATGAGACTCAAAGTTTTCATTTCATTTTATTAGAAAACTTAAATAAATTACGTTATAAAATAAAGTTATTTCATAGAGCTAAAATCAAGGGAAAAAAAAGGCAGGTTCCTGATATAAACCATAGAATAAAAAAGATAAAAGAATTGGAAAGCCTATATATCTCTCTTGCTCTTGAGTAAGTTCCGTTTTGTCATTGTGTACGAGTTACTAAACCATATTCTTTATAGCAGTGTATCTACCTTTGTATCATGGGAAATAGTGGATTGAGTAATTAAGAAAAGTAGCAGTAAAACTAGGTTTCTTGTGCCTAGGACACGAAGTATTGTGAGAAGCGTGAATGAGAAATAAAGTGCAGGAAAGATATTGAGGGTGTGGAAGGGCTTCAGCTACAAGTTCAACTTCAATGGTAGAGCATGAGAACCATATGCATCTTTGCCACTGACACCAACATCTTTAGCTATCGATTACAAATTATTTATGCGCTATCTATTTTCGTCCCAGGAAACACACATCATCATTGAATGGCTCCATCTTTTTATGTAAGCTTGTAGGGTGAAGAATCATGATAGTAAAAGCCATCGTACAGAAAAGCTAAACGGTACTATGCTCAAAAAATAATGTCACAACTTTTTCCACGACTCGTGCATTCATTGTTTTTAAGTTTTGGGCCAATTACAACACTCTTTTCATGGTAGTATATTCAAAGCCATCATCAACTTTCTTTCTTAACCTTTTTTTCTCTCATATCTTTAGACAGACCCCCAGCCATCCCTAATCAATAACTGAAGGACCAAATTCCAAGCATACATCCTCCACATCTCTAATCTCTGCTTTGTATGTTAGGGAAGATTCAGATTTTCAGCTGCCTCTAGAATTAATGGGTCATGGCCTCACAACCAAACTCACAAGTTAAGTGAAAAAAAGAAGCCCTAATGGCGCATGACCCAAAAACCATTGTTTTTTCTACGTGAATATTTAATCCTGCGAGAAAACTAAACAGCACAGAGAGGCGAAGTGGCATTGGACAAGAAGAACAAAAAAGATTGAAACGTCAAATGTCTGATCATCGAACAAATCTCTAGTTACAAAGAATAACCATATGAACTTAAGAAAAAATTAAATTAACAAAATCAGAACCTGATGCCATCCATACGCTACAAGGGAAGATACTCATTTAAATGTAAACCTCCAAAAGGTTTCTTATAAATCTAGCTGAGGTAGTTTTGTCCAAGGTAACTTCTAAAACTGAAACTCCCTCGAATCCAGCAGCACCAAACGAGTTAGAGAGCATTACAACAACACCCAGGTGCAGTTAATACAGGCCATAATAAAACCAATTAAAAGTAATTACTAATTAGTATTATCAATTTCCGCAGCCATTAAATATAAACATGACCAAAATTCGTAACCTATGATTAACTCAGTCCTTCTCCTCCTTCCTCACCTGCGATGGCACAATAATGTCCTGAAGCAACCCATTGTCCCTCAACAAAGCCTCGTGTCCGAAACCTCGACGGTTCGCGTGGTCCTGAGGAAACCCACCAAACGACGTCGTGTTCATGAAGTTACTAGCGGAGTTAACAAAAGGAGGGGCGGAGTTATACATCAAAGCCGAAGCTTGTGCTTGGTGGTGGTGCTGATGTGGGAGAGAGAAGTGTGAGGAGCCGAAGGAACGGGCATGTCCGAACCCACCAGGTTCGTGCACGAACCCGAAGCTAGCCCGCGACGAAGCAGGGCAAGGGTGCGTGTGCTGCCCCTCGTAAGTGGTAACGACGATGGAAGGGTCATCGGAGGAACGCTCCACGCGCTTCTTGACGCCGCAGCCAGCGGTGGTGCAACGGTAGTAGCTCCTACAAGGTGACGTGGCACGAGGGTTGCGTGTCCAGCAAGAAAAAATTAATTAGAAGAAAAGATGAAAATTAGTGGGAAACTCTAGTGCTATTTTGTCAACTAGAGCGTTCGCTAAGGACAAGGGAATGAGAGCGATGGATAAATATAGAGAGAGAAGGAAGAATGAATGAATATTGAAAAATGAAAAAAGAAAAAAGAAAAATGAAATGACAGTAATATGCTACCTGGGATAAGGGCTGTTTTTCACAGCTTTTTGGCCGTACTTGCGCCACTTATAACCATCGTCCAGGTGATCAACCTCGCTCTTTGTCATGAACGCAAATCTCGGTTCTCTTTGCTTCTTTTGGTTCTTCTTCTTCGGTTTCAACCTGTTACATTTTCCATACTTACCACTTGTCAATTCCTTCTCTCAGACACCAATAATAACAAATTGAAAAAAAATATATATTCAAAAATCAAAATAGAAAACAGAGTCAAACGAGGACACTAACACCGATAAAAGCAGAAGCCCATTTTAAGTTCGGGCATCAGAAACTGCTTCATGAGTTTCCCCAAACTAACTCACTTTATCTCTCCTTCCCTTTTTACTTTGCCGTTAAGGCATTCAATAACAGATAAAAATAAATTCTCAATAATGAGAGAAAGGAAAAAGAAAATGAAAATAAATAATGACTATAATTTAATCAACTGTGTACTCACGCGTCTTTGGATATTTTCATCTATTTTTCACCTTATTTTGATATTAAATAATCCATTTTGTTTTTCACTGTTATTAACTTTTGTTTCTGGTTTTCTTGTTTGTTTATGTCATACATTTTAAATACATTTCAGCAAAACTTACACCCAGTTCTTTAAGGGTTACTTTTTTTAAGTTGTTCTTCAATAAAAGATGAACTTTTACACAGTGCATCTAAATTATGCTAAAAAAAATATTGAATCTAACTGTTCACTTGTCATTTTCCTTACTCAATACTTACTGTTTCTTAGTCTTATCTTGATCCGGGTCATCCCTGCCTCCATTACCACCTTCTTCTTCCTCCTCTGCTTCCACTTCGTCGTGTTCAATCCCACCTTTACCACTCCGCTCCTCGGTAGCGGTTGCGGTGGTGATGACGGTGGCCTCATTCGAAGACGACGAAATCGACGACAAGTTGGGCGACGCGGGAGCGTTCAGCACCTCAGAGGAGTCCGGCACGTTGGAGCTCGCCGGCGACGGCGCATCGGCGGGGAGCCAATCGAATAACGGCGCGGTGTAGTCGTGGACGCCGAGCAGCTCCATGAAGCCGAACGGCGAGTCCTTGTGGTCGCAGGAGGAAGACGACAAGCGCGGCGGCGGCGGCATGACGTCGAAGATTGTGGGTGGTTGGAAAGGGAAAGTGAAGTTGTTGGGAATCTCGTCGGAGAATGCCATGGTGGTGGATGGTGAGTTGTTGGGGTGTGGTTCTTCCTCTCTTTTCTCCTCCGCCATTGATTTTGGTGGATTGCTTCTGCTATATATCAACAACGAAAGGGTGGCACATATTCTTATTTTTATTTTTTTTGGAGATCTTGCTTTTGTGCTGCGAACTCAAAAGGAAGTGTGCCTCTAAATTCTACCACTTGTTATTATTACAAAATATATAAAAAGAGACAGAAAGGAATAGAGAGAGAGAGAGAGAAAGGGATAGTTTGGGGATTAGGGGAGTACTCTCCCCGTAGATTCAAATTTGAGATTTCTTAACCAGTGTGATCATAACTAGTATTAAATTTTTATTGGATTTTTAAATTTACTCTTTTTAAAAACAATTAACAATATTAATTAAAGGCATTGAATGTTTCTCTCAATAGTAATACTACTTTAAAAATCGCTAAATAATTTTATTTTTTTAATGTTTCAAGCATAATTTATAAAATCCAAGTGGACTAACGAGTTTGATTGATTTAATTAACTCTACAAAATCAAAACATTTCATAATCGATGAGAATATCTAAAACTGGTCAAAATCAATAAGAAAATTCAGCTTTAGTCAATTTTATTATAATTTGTTTATATTTTCTTTCTAAACTTTTATCTAAAATAATTTAAATATTTCCTTTATTTTTATTTAATTGTCTATTTTTAAGAAAAAAATATTTTTATTTATACCTTATTTGTAAAGTACAATATTTTAATTATCTTTTTATTGATTACTTTTTTATTTTAAAATATTTATTGTTTAAAATTAAGTTCCATAAATTAAGATAAACATCAATTTTTCTTTTTTTTAATAAATCTGTTAATCTTCCTTTCAATATAGTACTCTTTATCATTTTAATATTATTTTCATCCAAAATCATTTTTAATAACTTATGATTTTTCTTTCTTCTGCAATAAATATAATTAAAAAGATAAGAATTCTTATACTTTTAATTATACTTATTATAAAAAAAATATTTATAATTTTTTTATGGAGAAAAATAAGTTAAAATAATAAGGATATTATTTTAAAATTAATATAGTGTTACATGTAGCAATATTTTTATTACATGTCTATGGGTATATTGTGTAAAAACACTACATATTTAAATTATAATAAAAGAAAATATTGAGTTTTTTTTTTACATAAGTAATGTTCTAATAAGTGCTTTGATGTGTGAATACAACTTACAATAATATAATGTTTTGTAGATATTACTAACGCAAACTTCCAATCAATATTAATGTTTTCTCTAGTAAATGAGATAAAAGCATTAATCACAAAAAATGAATTGAAACATTAAGTATTGTTAAAGAACAATATAAGGAATAATACTAAACTTTCCTAATTTTAGTAAGTTATTAGATTCTTTTATTTCTAAAAGGTAAATTTCGTTTTAAATATATAATGGAAACGTCTCCTAAAAGTCTAACATGCAAGACACAAAAAAATAAAAAAATAATTTTTGAGCTAAAATATTGTGTTGCTTTTATTTGAAGGCTTGGAAAATAGAAAAAGAAAGAAAAAGTGAAATTAATATAATTAGGGTCGTTGTTGTATGAAAAGAAAGGAGAGTTTGATAGGGTTGGGAATTTGGAGAACAGGAATGTATGAAGAGAGTGGGAGGGTTTCCAAATTCCGCCTTGGGACGACGGGCACCTGTCAGTTAGGAAGCGTACGAAGAATGGCAGCATGATGTTGATGGCATTTACCGCTAAAGAGGACCGCCATAGGGCCCCACCTCCCTCTTGACGCGGATATTTGACTGGTAACCGGCTTAGCGTGTGAACCAAGCATTCTCCAAGTGTACACGTACCCTACTTACTTACCACTTTTGGCTCTGTTTCATAAACTACTTTTATTTAATTAATTAATTAATTAATTTGAGGATCAAATTTATGTATATTATTTTACGTATTTTTACTATTGCTTTTTTAATTATATTACAATTTTACTTTGGTCTATTACAGCATTCGCCTTTATTTATTTATATATATATATATATATATGTTGAGTTCACTAGTACAAAATAGGCTTTTAACATCGGTTCCCAGGGACTTTTCACATCGATTGTAAGGAACCGATGTAGAAAGTCTAATATTTTTATTTATTCATATCAGATTAAGAGAATTGTTACTTGCAAGATTCAAACCCAAGATTTGTAAGTCGAAGGTCGATACTTCCAACCATCGAACTATTAGGATTTTTCGATAATAACTTATACATAAATTATATTTATATACAAATAAAAATGTATATCCATGTAAATATATAAATATAAAATATATAAATACAAATACAAATATATTTATATGTTGGATGTGAGGCAGCGCTCGAGGATGAAAGTGTGTGTCGAGTGAATTTTCAAAATTTGATGTCAAATTTGTGAGCGAGTATCTTTATATGGATTATAACTTAATGACAAAATATAATCTTTATAATTTATTTATATAATGATATAAAATATTTTTATTTTATTTTATATCATTATATAATTAATTATAAAGATTATATTCTATATTATTATAAATAAATTTTAAAGATTATATTCTATTATTAAATTACAAATTCATATAAAGAGACTCGCTCACAAATTTGACATCAAATTTTGAAAACCCACTTGACACACACTTTCACTCTCGAGCGCGCTCTCACATCTAACATATAAATATATAAATATATTTGTATTTATATTTATATATTTTATATTTATATTATATATATATATATTTACATGGATATACATTTTTATTTGTATATAAATATAATTTATTTATAAGTTATTATCGAAAAATTCTAGTAGTTCAGATGGTTGAAGTATCGATCTTCGACTTTAAAGTATTAAGTTCGAATTTTACCAGATGACAATTCTCTTAATTTTATAAAAAGACTTTCTACATCGGTTCCTAACTAAACTGATGTTGAAAGTCTTGAATTCACTTTCTACATCGGTTCTTAAAGAATCGATGTGGAAAGATCGATGTCTGTACTAGTGGTTTTACCGTAACGTTTGGATTTTAATTTATTTATTGTGTGGTCAATATTTAAAAGGCTGCATGATAAGGGTTAGCTATTCTTATTTTATTTAATCAGTTTATAATTTATTTTATTAAAATAAAATTATTTACTGAAAATATTTTATTAACTTATTGAATTTTGAAATGTTTTTTTTAGTTAATAATGAAATATATTAAAATATACTTAGCCACCGAATTTAAAATTATGATAAAATAAGTAAATATAATTTTATAATATATGACGTAATGATAAGAATGGGGACCCCTATGAGAGGTAGGATCCTCCATCTAAAACGTTAAGTAATAAGGTGATAAACATCTTTGTGAATCATGCATCGTGATATGGTAGGAATGCATTATCTAAAGTATATATGAACCTTAGGGAAGTCAAGCCATAAATGACTATAGTGAGAAACCCCCCTAACGAAACATATACAAAACAAGCGTAAATAACACTGCATGAAATATTCACAAACTGTGTTACTTTCTTATATCTTATTCATTTATAACATTTTTTTTATTTTATATTTGTTTTGAAGGCTTTGTCTAAATAACTTTAGTTCATTGTTCAAATAGTAAGGGTAAAAAGGTAAGAAAAATTTCATATGAAAATGTTTTAGAAGTGCATGCAATTGATAAATATCACACCATGGACATTCAACCCTAATTCTCTGGTTGCACTCCTAATAGTTTGTGAGTTCTTTACAAGATACCTCAACCCATCATATGGTAAAAGGTGTCACGTGTACTATTAGTCCAAAGAAACAAAACAAAATGAAAACAAATTAATAAAAATATTTAAGAAATAAATAAAATTTATCTCATTAACGATAAAGATAGCTTTAAAAAAATAAAAATTTTCAGACAAATTTAATGTTATTAGTCAAATTAATTAATTCTATTATTCTCTAACGTGATCTCTTCTCTTAGTTACGTAAACACTTGTTATATTGAATCTCTTTAGCATTTTTTCAGAGCTTAGTTAACTGGGTCATACAATAGATTGCAAAATATATTAAATAATAAAATATGTATTCAAAATAATTTTAAATATAATATCACACAAAAACATGTATCCTTAATGACACTTTTGAAGGAGGATAAATAAAATAATAAATTTTTATGACATATAAATGTTCGATATCATGTGAAGATGTTATAACGACTTTTGAAGGATGTTATAAGTATAGAACTAGACTTCGAAGCGAACTATTTTGTAAACTCAACATAATTACATAAAACCCAATTATTTAAAGAAAAAAAATTCGAACAGGTATACGTAAAAAAAAAATAATAATAATAAAGACGATTTGGTTTGAATTGATAAAAATGTTTGAATCAGTTGTTTGAAAAAAAATTAATTGAATCAAAACGATCAACATGATTAAAAAAATATATTTTGAAAAGAAAAAAGGAGAGAATTGAACCACGTTTTATACCTAGCTTGGTTTAAACATTATGAAAATATTTTTATGAAGTGGTTTGATTTTTTTTTTTATTAATCCAATTGGTGATCATTTTGTTAGAGATTACATGTATATTAATTCATATAGAAACTATTTAATATAGTGATATAAATGAAATAAATTCATTAATTAAATGAATTCCTCACTCGCCAAACCTAGCTATATATGCTGTAGCTAATTTTGCTACCCATTTAAGTTTCCACACAAATTTATACCAAAAAAATCTGCATTTCCTTGTTGATTTGATGAAATTTGACACACAGAAAATAAATTACTTAGTCAAAACACTTGTGAATTTGAGGTGTATAAGTAGTACATTAATTTTTGGGATTTGTTGGACGATAATAAGTGCATTGCCAAATCACATGGTTTATCCCACACAAAAATTAATGCTGAATTTCATTGCTCTACATTTCTACTAATTCCATGCAGTACTAAAACCTTGTAAGGTATGGAAATTAATTAATAGGGTTATTGGTTCTCAAGCATTAATTTCAAAATGCTGTAAAAGGTGACCCAAAAAGTGATTCAGCTCAGCATAGTAAAGTA